TTTGTTAAAAGTTTGTCATGGTGTACAGTGCAGTGCACCTTTCTTTTCATCTTTTTATTTATCATTTTATTGGGGAGCTCTTGCAAATCTTATGACAATCCATCATTCAGTTGTATTAAGCACACTTGTACATATGCTTCCATCAACATTTCCAAAACAGTTTTTTATACTTGAGCCCTTGGTATCAGCTCCTTTTTTTCCCCCTCCCTCGACCATCCTCCCACCCTCGTGAACCCTTGATCTGTTATATATTATTGTTGTTATTTCGTGTCTTACACTGTCTGTTCCCTCCCTACACCCACATTTCTGTTGTTCGTCCCCCTGCGGGGTGGGCTGTGTAGCAAACCTTGTGATGAATTCCCCCACAGTGTACCTCTCTATGCATAAAAAATTAAAGAAAAACTTCTAGATACGCTAACTACATTTAACATAATACAGTGATATGATGTTTTGATGTATATCACAAGTAGTGCCCATTTGTTATTACAAATCATTTAATGGACCTAAAATTTTAATATAATAGATTTTGTAAGGGCGGCTTATAACTTCAAGTTGTAAATCAATTGGGTGTTGCTACTCCAGGAATTGTCTATATTAAAGCATATTAATCTTGGTTCAGAAATCTTTAGCGGAATGTCTGCAGTCTGTGTAGTTTAGTGGTATTGTTGCTCAGTAGCAATGGATAAGAAGCACTGGTGGTGATGGCATGCAAGTGTTGAACTGCAGACCAAGTGCTGTGAACCCACCAGCTGCTCCTCGAGAGAAAGATGAGGGGATGTACTCCCGTAACGATTTACAGCCTCAGAAATCCACAGTGATAATTCTACTCTGTTCTGTAGGGTCACTGTAAGTTGGAATTGACTCGATGGCTATGAGTTTGTTTGCTTTTTTTGGTTGGGTGGGTTAGAGTCAACTGATGGCAATGAGTAGGTTTTCTTTTTACCTAACAAATGGCAAATTCAGAGGTTACAGATTTGTTGGTTGCCATTTTTATTAAAAGTGCCATAATGTCTTTTTAAAATAAAATACTTCATGAGATTTTTTTTGTGCCATACAGGGAATAAACTTGCCAATTATAACTGTCAAATACTGTAGATTATAAAACCTAAATTGATATTCCCCCAAAGAATCCAAATCCACTGCCTTCAGTTGAGTTCTGACTCAGAGACCCAATAAGACAAAGTAGAAGTGCTTCCTAAGGTTCCCAGGAAGGTAAATCTTTCCAGGAGCAGGCAAACCTTGTCATTTTTTGCAGCGTGATTGGTCATTTTGACTGGTAAACCTAGTAGTTAGCAGCGCAGTGCTAACCCACTCTACCACTAGGGGCACTCCTTAAACGGATATTGGTGTGGGAGGCAGATGCATCTTAAGATTGATGAAATACATTATTTTATATAGTATTTTGTGACTTTCCACTATTTCCTTTAATTGCCTCATTTATACCAAAGGATGAATAAGCCACATGACTTCGTTATTCCCTTATTGATGAACTTTTAAGTTGTTTTCAGTAGCGAGAAAGCAGTACTGTATCTGCCTCTTTGTACCGAGGAGACTTCAAAAAGTTTTCCACTAACTTTTTGGAGCCCCTTTGTTTATATTTGTGAGTACTCATCAAGGGTAGATAATGAATCTTGGAATTCCTGGGTGTTAGGACATTGGTGTTATTTACTCTGAAGTTGACTATGAGTCGTGGTGATCTTGTTTAACACAGCAAAACACTGCCTGGTCCTCTTCCATCCACACACTCAGGTAAATGTGAGCCTGTGGATAGAGGGTTTCTCTTATTGTCACTAGCCCTCTCTACCAAACAGGTGGGACTTTTCTCTTTCCTGTTGATGTGTCCAAAGTAAACAAGTCTTGCCACTCTTACATCCAACATAAAATTTGTTAATTCCTCTCACAGCCCATAGTATATTCAATATTTTTCAGCCGACAACACAATTCAGTTGCACCACTTCTTTGGTATTCATTTTTTTGGCTGACTTTTAAATGCATAAGAAGTCACTGCAAAGATAATGGCTTTTAAAAAAATGCTTTATAAAAAAGGTATTTTTGCAGCAAATTTTTCCAATCCAAAAGTCATTGGATTTCATGACTGCCTTCTATAGGTATTGCTTGTTTGAGTCAAGTAGAATGAAAGCCTTGACTGTGGGGGACCAGCCGCCACAGCCGATAGGATCAAGTAGAGGTGGTAAAACTGAAAGATAAAATTAAAGAGACAACAGACAAGGCATGCAAGGGCTCACCTCTTCCATGGACTCTGGAACCAGAGAGTGTGCGCAAATATATTCTCTAACAGGCTTATATAATCTCAGGGCATGCAAGCCACGGCATGTACATACACAACAGGAAGAGGTTATGCTAAAGCCATACACGTAACAGGAAGGGGAGGCACTAGGGGCCTACGCCGACAGAAAGGCACATACTCAATGAGGTAGGCAGGTTCTAGAGTTAAGATGGCTGCTTAACCCTGGCTGTCCCTCAGCCGGCTTGACATTAGGTATCCCTGAGCTTTTCTCTAGGGGAACAATCTGTGATCCTTATCGGAACAATCTGTGGGCTGTACTTAGGATGGGGTGGACAATGGGGTCTGCTTTAGTTAGGAGAATGTGACTCTAATTCATCTCCAATTCATAACCATGAAGGCCTTCCTCCACCATTCTTCCTCCCAGATTCTTAATTATGAGTGTAGAGAATTTGTCCACATACACTTTCATCCTGCTTCTCAGTTTCCCACACTTGACAACTTCAATTTCTTCACCATTCATCTTGATAATGTTTATTAGTCCAATTGTAAGGATTTTCATTTTCTTTTTGGTCAGATATTGAAAGCCGTAGTCTCTGACCTTAATCAGTAAATGCTTCAAGTTATCTTCACTTTCAGCATGCAGAGTTGGGTCATCTCCGTATTGTACAGGTAGGTTGTTAAGTCTTTCTCCAGTTCTGATATCACATTCTTCTTCATATAGTCCAGCTTGGTTATTGTTGATCAACATATAGAGATTGAATAAGTATGGTGACAGGATACGACCTTGTTGCATATCTTTACCAATTTTGAACCATTCTGATCCCCTTGTTCTGTTTGAACACCTTTTTGATCCACGTACAGGTTACACATGCACCACAATGAAGTGTTTTGGAATGCCCAGTCTTAGTAATGTTATCCATAATTTGTTAGGATCCGTGGTAAAATACCATACGTTTAAAATATATTACTGTAATTTTGGTGAAACTTGACATTGTGCTGTAGTGGATTGTATATAGATAGGGCTGCTAACCGCAAGGTCAGCAGTTTGAAACCATCAGCCACTCATCCACAGGTGAAAGATGAGGCCTTCTATGTCTGCAACAAGTGACAGTCTTGAAGACCCACCAGGTAGTTCTGTTTTGCTCTGGAGAGTGCCTATGAGTGAAATTGACTTGGTGACATCAGGTTAAAGATTTTGTTGTAGATTGTCCCATGCCATTGGTTACAATATATTGGGTCAATATCCTCATTTCCATTCTGCTTGTTCTGTTTCCATTGGTACAGGTTCCCTTCCCTCCCATTCTTATCTTTGCTTTTGGGTAAATATTGACTATTTGGTTCTCATATGGTTAATTGTTTAAGGAAGCTACTGTTTCTTTTATGAGCCATTACCTACAGAAATATCTTCCATTCACCATTCAAAATTTAACGTAGGGCAATATCGTCTTAGAGGTTCTAGTTTCTATCAGTCTAGTAGATCTGGCCTATTTAAGAATTTGAGTTTTCTATTACATTTTTCTTTTATTTTATGCTATCTGTTATGTCTCTGATCAGAATGGTTGGTAGCCAGATACCATCTAATTCTTCTGGCTTAAAGTTAGAGGATGTTGTGGTCTGATTGTTATTTTGTTTTTGTTTGAAATTTGGTATTGTTGAAATCAACCAATAATAAGTGCTATCATTAAACATAATTATCCTCTGTAAAGATTTCCCCATTTACTAAAATCACATTTCATATTTTGAATATTGGTGGTAATCTAGTCTTTATAGATTAAATTGGCTTTACTTATAATTGCCTTTATGGAAACCTATCAGGCCAACTATAATATGTAGAAAGGAAAAGGATCACGTAATTACTATTAATAATATTATTAGGTCTATGAGATAGTAGTAGAATTCTTAAGTAGAATTCTTAATTCTTTTAAAAAAATCATTTTGTTGGGGGCTCATACAACTCTTATCACAATCCATACATCCATCCATTGTGTCAAGCACATTTGTGCATTTGTTGCCATCATCATTCTCAAAACATTTGCTTTCAACTTGAACCCTGAATTCTTAATTTTTAACAAACATAATAAATACTTCCTTATGAATGTATACTAAGTGTACCTTAATATCTGAGTTGAAATTTAAACATAGGCCAGTCTGGCTCCAAAGTTCCTTCCACTGGATCATGTAGCTTCAGTGGGATGGAGAAGTTTCGCATATATATGATGATGTTAAAAATCATATAAATTTATGGCTCTTTCCACATTAAAAAAAAAACACAATTTGCGTGTGATTCAAGTGGAAATTAATAGAATGAATTGGTTTTCCATTCGACAATTCATACTTATTTTATTTTCACATTTTTAATGTGTATGAAATGTGCTAAGTGATACAATTGTGTATGTATGAGAAGATGTCAAAAATAAGTGGACAAACCCCGTATCTTTCAATAATTTTTTTCAAGCCCCCTTGTGTGTTTGATGGCAACTTAATAAATTTCTATGTAGTGATTTTAACATAAATATTGGTGCCTCGGTCCTTTTTAAAACAAGTGATTTGTATAAAGGATTTCTGTCTTAGATTCTGATTATAAAAGTTTAGGAATTGAAATTAAAACTTGCTGTAAAAGTCATTATAATAAGAGTTTATATCCACCATAGGCAGATTGTGACATGCCTTATGGCATGAATTCAGAATATAATTCTGAAAATTGTTAAATTTTCAGTGCTGATTTTTTTCACTGTCTTTCTTTATCTTCTAGAAAAAGATGGAAAAGCGTTTCATTCAACTTATGAAGAGAAACTAAAACTTGTGGCACTGTATAAGCAGGTTCTTATGGGCCCATACAACCCAGACACTTGTCCTGAGGTTGGATTCTTCGATGTGCTGGGAAATGATAGGAGGTAACAGTGTTTTATTGTGTAATGAGTTTAATGAGAATAGTGTTGAGAGGGATAAGAAATAAATTGCTTAGGACTTAAATAACTGGTTCATTAGCTTAGGATAAGAATGAAACATTTTTGCTTGCACTGTATGGAGTCTTCAAAAGGTTATGACTAAATATTCTGGAAGATATGCAATCATCTGATTATGAGCGTAAAACAGCACAGCTGAATTTGATTCTTCTTAACAATGTTAAAAGCAACCTTTTAAAATAAGTGGTAAATAATTTGTGTGGGACACACACGGGGTGCACCCCCGGATAGCGGAATTAGACATACACCTACACACACACACACAGCTATGTATTTAATTTTTTTTAAAAAAACAACCATATCACTTTCAAAGTACTCTCCATTTTACTAAATACATTTGTCAAATATGCGATTCCATTCTTGGAAACATTTTTCAAATTCATCTGTTTGGTGACTGACAGCAGCACCTCCCTCATTTTTTTCTTCACCTCTTCACTGTTACACAATCTTTTCAGACCCTCTAAATCAGTGGTTCTCAACCTGTGGGTTGCGAAGTACCAATTTTATGGTTGGGGGGTCACCACCACATGAGGAACTGTATTAAAGGGTCATGGCATTATGAAGGTTGAGAACCACTGCTCGAAATAGAAAGTTTGATTAACAGTCTGACCTGGTGTAACGAACTCCAAATGCACTCACTATAAGTTGATGTTTTTGTCTGTTTGGGAAGTAGCCAGACATCCTCAATGAGGTTTGTCATCAATTGACATTTCACCTTTTTTGAAATGAGAAAACCACTTGTCCACTTGAGTTTTTCCCATAGCACTGTCCTTGTAAGCTGTGTTCAATATCACAGCAGTTTCTGCAGCACTTTTCCTGAGCAGGAAACAAAATTTCACAGCCCTACGCTGTACTCCGAAGTTGGCCATCACAACAAAAAAGTTCGAGTGAAACTGCCTTTACAAAAAAATTCACTGTAACCAGAGAGAAGCTTCCCAGGCAACGCCACTGGTTGCACTAACTCAGAGCTAGTTGCTCCATACTTGCTTAGCGGGAAAAGTACATAATTATGAAAGCTGCTCTGCCCAGCACAGTTCTTTTTTTTTTTTTTGGTACCCCCTTGTACAAAAGTAATTGTTATCGGGACAAAGAGCGTTCTAACAAGAACACATTTTTTAAATTCTGTCCAGGCCAAATACGTATGAGGAAAATAAAACTTTGATACCCTTTTGCTAGCATAGGAATTATAATAGAAATGAAGTTATAAGTAGCTTTTTGTGGTTCACACCAATAAACTTGGATTGTATGTAGTGTACCTAATTTAGTAAGTTTGCATGTTTGTTGAAAGTTTCACATTTTGAGCCTATGTTTATAGTAGAATCAGATTCTTCATTTTGGTTATAATTGAGAATTGTTCATAATTAAGTTTAGATCAAATTCTTATTTAGGTAAGACGATTAGATCACTTTCTTGGTGTTCTTGCAGGAGAGAATGGGCAGCCTTGGGAAGCATGTCAAAAGAAGATGCCATGGTAGAGTTTGTCAAGCTTCTGAATAGATGTTGCCATCTATTTTCAACGTATGTTACCTCCCATAAAATAGAGAAGGAAGAGCAAGAAAAGAAAAGGTGAGGTATGAGGGTACAGAATTCTTAATTCCTGTTTACCCCAGTACAGTGATAATTTTTCCCTACAGAGTGTCTGTACTTAGATCATATATCTACTTCCCTTGGATCCTTACTTAAGCAAACTGTTCAAACTTCTTGACGTGGGCAGGTAATTATGTTACTGGTTTGGGGGTACTGTTTCTTCAGGCCATACATTTAAAAGAGCCCACCCATACATCGTGGCAGCATTTCATTTGCCCTTCTACACTGAGTTTTTGACCGAACCCCATGATGAACTCAACTTCAGCTTCCTGCCTACCCTGTGGACTGACACATGTAAATAACCCTTGCTGGTGTCTCTTTGGGGTTTCTAGAGTATTCATGCACCATTTCACGGTTATCAACTCTATGTAATCATTCCTGTTTGACTCTGGCTCTCATAAAGCTCATTAATCTTTTTAAGGATTTGAGGGAATACTGCTGAATGAGCTATTTATTTCATGGAGTGCTCTGTTGTGATTATGAATTCAACAAAATTACAGCTGACATCTGTGATGAAGTGAAATTACTTATGGTTCTTCTACTCATATCTTTGTAACTTCCACCAAGTGATTGGGTGGGACCAAGTAAAGAGTGTGTGAAACAACTAATGGAGGGGATTGAACAGTTTTGCCATTCTACCGGGTTTATAAGTGAGCATCTCAGCAGCAGGAAGAGAGAATCCCATTACCAGCAAGAAAGAAGACCCACCATCAGAGCTTCTGTAAGATCCTTGTCTGAAGTGGCAGAGGCACCGTGGAGCAGCACTGAAATCATGAGGCAGAGCTTGTTCCATGGACCTTTCTGACCCATGGAACAAGACAGACCAGGGGACCATGTGGCTAAGAAGTCGATTCTGTGGGCGAGAAGGTTGGTGTGTTACACTAGGGTTAAAGAAGTTGGAGGGTGGAGGCATCTTTGACCTCTGCCTCTTAGGAATCATCCTTGGGCAGATGTGGAATCAGATTCTTTTTTTTTCTTTGCGTAATTAGAGGAGGCCACATATGGCCCCTGTGCTGTTCCCTCAATACTATATTATCTAGAGGTTGTATTTTCAACAACTCTGAGGATCTAAAACTGCTAGGTGACCAGAAAGATGCTGTAGAAAAAATCAGTTTTACCCTCATATTACATTATACTTTAGAGAAACAATTGCTTCTCTAGTATTCTACCAAAAACTACATTAGAAATAACAGATTAGAAGGAAAAATAAATTGATAATGGGGGAGACCACAGGGACTGTGGAAAATAGACAAGAATTTTTAAGAATGAAGCTATATGAGGGTGAACTTTTCCATTACTTTACCTGACATAGTATAATTTTTATGTTTGTAGTTGTAACCCCTGAGTCACCAAGAGACAGCACTAAAAATAATATATTTTTGCTTAAGAAGTCAGGAAACAGCTTAGTATATTTTCAGATTTTTATCTTTTTTTCAGAAGAAAAAGCTGTTTTATAAGAAAAGAATGAGGTGCTTTTAATTGGGAGATTGATTTATATCAATAATTGGCTTCTATAAATTATATTAATGTTACATCAGTGAGGTATAGCTATAATGTATTTGGATTTGTGTCTACCTTACCTTTTAAATTCTTATTTTAATGGTAAATATTCAGATTTTTCTTAAACATTGCCCAAAGTTGCTATTCAATTTAATATATACAATAATAAAATATTCAATTTATTTAAAAAGTTTGTGAAAGAAAAAAAAAGTTTGTGTAAGATTCCATTATTTTTTAATTACATTTTTCTACCAACTTTTTGAACCCTCATAAAACTGCATTTTGGGAGGTGGGGGAGTTTCTCTGGATGAATTTTTTATCTAGTATTCTCTTAAAGAATTCGTTAAATGCTTCTTTTAGGACATTAAACACGCACTTTACCTGGGGTCTTAATGGGGAAAGGGAAAGGGAGAGGCTCTTGCAGATTCCCAACGAAACATGAGATGGACACCATGCTGACCAGTCTTACCCTTTTGTTTGGGGTTTGCTGAACGAATAGCATTTTCCTTATTGAACCATCTGATCTCAGGATCTTTACCCCAAGAACCTTGAGATTTCAGTTTAAAGACATGCTGAAATCTTGAAAGTAGTAGCACACCCTCCAACCTTGTAAAACCTAGCTCATTTATATAGGCAGAATGATTCATCTCTCAATGTTAGATAGCTAGATGTTTGTGGAAGATATTATTATTGCTTACCTCATTTACTAGGAAGAGTTAAATAGGCCTGCAGGGACACATGAGAATTATAACACTAGCTCTCAGTCAAGTCTTACACATTTAATATTTGCCTGTTGAAAGCAATGTCATCAAAGCAAATCAAACAGGTTTTACTGTTTTCCTCACAAGAACATTAATATTACAGAGAACTTAAAACCTGAAAATTTTTGTAAAGAAACAGTTTTTAAACTGCATTTTTTTTTCTCTATGAAATTATACATTTGACCTGAGAATTCTTTTAAAGAATTTAAGACTAGAGTTTCTCTTTCTTGGAATGTAGGCTCTGACTTGTGGGACATCCTGCCCAATACCAGCTCTTGTGTTAAAAGTAGAGTAGGTTAATAAAGGCATATATGCAAAACCAATACCCAACGTTATTCTCAAAGGAGAAAGATTGAAAACATTCCGCCTAGAGCAGATGTCCTCAAACTACGGTCCGCGGGCCACATGCGGACCGTCAAGGACATTTATCTGGCCCGCCAGGTGTTTTTGCCCCATTTGTTTTTTTACTCCAAAATAAGATATGTGCAGTATGCATAGGAATTTGTTCATAGTTATTTTTTTTAAACTATGGTCCGGCCCTCCAACGGGTCTGAGGGACAGTGAACTGGCCCCCTGTTCAAAAAGTTTAAAGTTTGAGGACTCCAGCCCTAAAGAATGGGGATGAGACAAGAATTCGTGCTACCAACACTCTTAATCAGTATCTTGCTGAAAATTTTAGCTAGAGCAATAAGGCAAGAAAGGAAAATAAAGGAAATTTAAATTGGAAAGAAAAAAGTAAAACCATTCTTCGTTTCTTTTTTGAAATTGTTTTATTAGAGACTCATACAACTCTTATCAAAATACATACATACATCAGTTGTGTAAAGCACATTTATACATTCATTGCCCTCATCATTCTCAAAACATTT